GCGGATTCGTCCAACAGCAGGAACTAATGGGATCAAGTACTGCGAAAGGTCTCTCGGCGTGTTTATCGTATAGGAACTGCAGTTCCCATGGTGTCCTTTCTGGTCTTTCCGGTAATAAATGCCCGACCTTGGAGTACACTCTTGTGATTAGAAGTTGGTATGAATAGTGGGCCTCAAATTCACCTGTTATGGCGACGCGACTGCGTCATATTTCCAAGCTGCCAACGGGCCGCTAATAGTACACAAATATCACACTGCGACAGCCGAGGTACTGGCCTAAGTGTAGAACAGGACTTGTCGACCTGTGGGAAGTTCTCAGGCCCTGGCCCATCCAACGTAAACGCTTTCGATGATGCCCTGTGGTTGGCACGTTTGCACTTGAGGCTGGCTGACGTTGTCATCGCAGAGATTGACGGGCGAGTGCGTGTGTACCTGGTTATTATGTGAAAAACCCGCAAATTTCCCCGATTGTCATTGGAGATATCTGCCAAGGTAGCGGGCCTCGATGCGGCAGCCAGGAAGCCTTTTCTTTGGCTCTGCACTCTTTTCTCTGCGACTGTCTAGAAGCCGAGTGCTTTTTTGTGACTCTGTGCGCTCACGTTGCGTAAAGTGCAATTCTGGTGCAATGTGCAGTCTCTAACTTGTCGAGCAGAAACTGTTTTCTGGACGGTTTTAGATCACCTATGTTCGGTTTTCTACAGAAGAAAATTTTCAAGGGAAGTACCCAATGATATAGACCATCATGGAAATAAGAATCGAGGTCTTGTGCTGATATCCAGGATGGTTAGGGTTAGTCTTGCGATTGGGATTAATGTGAGGCCTACGTTTGAGGCTAGGGCTTTGATTCAGTAATATGTATCCTTGCTATTATTTTGCCCAGGGTGAAGATTCCTATTTCAGTGTATTACTCCTGTACTTGTAAACTGCCTACCTTCCAAGTAGTCGTTAATGACTTGGAATTTCCTCAAGTAAATTATCCATAAATACACGTACTAATAATTTTATAGTCAGTAGAGGAGAATATGCGAGTTCTAAGGAGCTGTTTAGAAGAAGATGCAACCGCTGGAACAAAATTTTTATTTTCTTGACGTTTTGGCTTCCGTCGGGGATCCTTAATCATAGGTAATGGTATCATAGTCATAGTCATGCGCAGATAGGGGCTAAACGTGCACAGATTGCACGGGATTTATTGTTCGTAGCGGTCATCCGCGTGCGTACTGTACTCATCCGTCCGTCCCCTGTAGCCACCGCTTAGGTCTTAATTGGTGCGGTGATGACTTGACCCTTAGCGTTCGACTCATTAATTGCCGCGATTTCCTTGTCCGTGCTGGAAGCGGGCTTGGTAATCGCGTGACAATTATGCTCGCTATCGTCAAAGTTGCTGCTGGGATCGGTCCTTTCCATAGCAAGCAGTATTTTCGCGCAATTACCATGCCAGCTTCCGACACGGACAAGAAAATCACGGCAATTAAGGGGCCGA